TGACTCCTGCGTTCTTGGTCTTGCCTCGAAATCATTATTGCAGTTTTTCATTATTTGATTTTACAACACATTTCAAAACTTTAATTACAGACTACCAGAATTGTATGCCCTTATAGAAGAACTGATCTCTTTCTCTGGTACATTACACCGTCAGCTTTCAATTAAACCTGTCAACGGAGTGTTTTCACATATTTTACGAACACTTCTTTCAGTTCCCTTAAATGGCAATTTTTGTTAAACAGTTAGAATCCAAAATATACAACAAACCACATGGTCTTCGATTTTTCATAAAGAATAATGTATTTGAATGACCAGCTAAGGAGCAATAGGATAAAGTAGTTTAATATTCAAATATGAACCCAAAGAGCGTGCAAGCGTGCGTGCGTGCATGCGTGCATGCGTGCGTGCGTGTTCCAAACTACATTACATATGACCCCAGAGAACAAAATACTATAACATCTGAAACGGCAACATCTGGCCAGGTTTCACATGTATTTAATGAGCTGTTAGGGTGCCACAGGGTGAACTCTATCGCTTCAAATGAATTCATTTTGAATTATCTGCCCTTAGTCCTGAGTCCTGTAAGACTTCATTTTGTTAACTGTACTGGTCCTCATAAATCTGCACATTGGTGATTTCTTTTTTTATCAGAATACGGCTGTTTTTAAAAGCTGCAGTTAGTAAAAATTACCTGCAGAATAATATACCCATGTGAGAAGACTTGAATTATTAACATCCTAAATTACGCCGGACATATGTAAATATGTGAAATACACAATGCCATTTCGAAAGTGGTAAAATGTAAAATATGTTATATTTGGGATTACACTTTCTTTGTAAAGTACAAATTCTAGTACTTTTGTTGGGTTGAGTCCCATCCGGTGGCTGAGTGGTCTAGGCCTCAGACTTCGTGTGCTGGCGATTAGGTGCCTGACTCTGAGGGTGTGGGTTCGAATCCCGGATGGGACTCAACCCAACAAAAGTACTAGAATCAGTACTTTACAAAGAAAGTGTTATCCCAAATATATGATATGTTATATGTAAATATGTTTTTAAATGTGTTCAAAAATGTAATTTGTGATAATATAATAGGGACTTTATACTAAAACAGCGCTTCATACTTATCAGCGAAATCATCGTGATAGCATCTGTCAGGCCGAAATGAAGATGTGCAACGTCAGTGACAGTCTTAAAATTCCTAGATCCGGGAAACCAGGGACGCCTCGATTACAGATCGGAACTCTTGTCTTTCATTGGGGCTGTACAGTACATCTACAACCCACAATTGTTAGTCTTGTTTCAAGCTTGATAGTAGTCAAATATATAGTAAATACAGTAAATCCTCCAAAATCTGGATATATTTCCCCCCCAAAATGCTGGTCAATACGAAACCACAAGTATGAAATACTGGTCAGACAGACAGACATCTGTCTGTGAAATACTGGTATGCCAGGAACCTTGGTTATCTCCCTTTGATCGTAAACGATCGAAGGCAAACAGTAGGCCTATTGAAGCAATTACTACGGTTATGTTCATTGCTATTTGTATTCAAATCCATACATTTTCACATATATCTCAGAGACATATCACGTCTTTATAACATGATGACGTTGTTTAACCTTGTAAGGCCTTGAGACTCGCATCTGTTCAGTGTGCATGTTTTTCACCGTGGTCACCTGGTTCGAGAGTCTTCCCTGGTTGTATAGTTCCGGGGCCTGTCGCAGACTTCACTTGTTAGCTCAAGAGTATGGCAGTGCGATATTTAATATTTTAGCGGTATGCTTTATGTTAAAAAAACGACATGGGAGTTATGCCCCTTAGGTCACGGGTGCGAGCATATATTAACACATTTCATGGTTCACGACTGTCCTGTATGTGAGTCTACTCGTAGTTGTACTGGTGCCATTTTTAATTTATAGTGCTACCCCACAGAGATGCTGCAGTTTAACATGCCAACAGACACAGTATACTGATGCTGAAGGGGTCGTTGTTGTCGTTGTCGGTACACAGATATGTACCCAAGGTTAGGTCATGTTTACAAATATTCTTTATTATATGTTTCCCATTACCGCATGACCCTAAGATGTTTTAAAAAATTTACACTAGAGAAATGCAACTTTGACTCTCAAAATGTGCATGAATTTTTCACACTACTAAGTTTTGATTTTCTATTATTATGGAAATATAAAATCCGCCCACACGACCCATAAAAAGTGATAAGAAACAAGATTTTTAACATATGTTATATTTGGGATTACACTCTCTTAGTAAAGTACAGATTCTCGTACTATTGTTGGGTTGAGTCCCATCCGGGATTCGAACCCACACCCTCAGAGTCAGTCACCCAATCGCCAGCACACAAAGTGAGCTGTCTAGCATGCTCAGCCACCTCAGACATCCTTTGTTTTCACCAAGAAGGGAATAGTACCTCAAACCTTCTCTCTGGGCAAACACCACTATACCAGAGGTGGTTGCTTGGCAAATACCTCAGCATGGTTGTTCTCAACCAGGTCTGGTTACCAAATCCAAATCCAGGATCGATGTTCTGGCATAATGGATTCAGTTCTATACAGTGAATTAAGAGGCTCCAAACTATCACCTGTGCTCCATGTTCTATGACATTCTGTGATTCCAATCCGACATACAAAACAAACTCAAGAGTTTTCACATAGTTTTTAATTTGAAATTTGATCATAGTCTCTGCCATTTGTGTTATGTTAGTACAAAATACTATATACAACAAAGATGTCCTACAGTTTTCGGTCTGCAAGCTACAGACATCTGTAACATGACCAGCAGACACCGCATCTGATTTGTTGGACAGACAGACAACACATCACTTGACAGGCAGATGTGTACACCCCATCTGATTGGCTGGACAGACAGACAACACATCACATGACCAGCAGACGTAGTATGCAGCATCTGATTGGCTGGACAGATTGACAACACATCACATTGATACACATACGCCTAGCAACAACAGCTAAATATTTACACAGTAATATGTACAACGATGTAACACAATGCACCAAATACATCAACCTTCCACCCCTATATCAATAGTAAGCCAGTCGGGATATCCCATTCTACCACTTTAGTGTCGCTGAGACAAAGATACATGGACATATCTCCATAGAGCTACCAGTAGCTATAGGACATATGGACATTTCACAAAGCTTGGATACTTGGCATATCCTTACAATGCTATCGGTAGCTATAGGACATTTGGACATTTCACAAAGCTAGAATATATGGCATATCCTAATAGAGCTGTTGGTAGCTTTAGGACACATCCTGAAAAATTGAAGACACGTGGCATATCCTCACAGGTAGGTAAAGGATATATGGATATATCCTCACAAAGCTAGGACACATGGACATATCCTCATAGGGTTCCCTATAGGACATGTGGGCATATCCTCATTGGGTTCCTATAGGACACATGGGCATATCTTCATAGGGTACCTATAGGATACATGGGCATATTCTCACAAGGTACTTATAGGACACATGGGCATATCCTCACAAGGTACCTATAGGACACATGGGCATATCCTCACAAGGTACCTATAGGACACATGGACATATCCTCATAGGGTTCCTATAGGACACATGGGCATATCTTCATAGGGTACCTATAGGACACACGGGCATATTCTCATAGGGTTCCTATAGGACACATGGGCATATCTTCATAGGGTATCTATACAACACATGGGCATATTCTCATAGGGTTCCTATAGGACACATGGGCATATCTTCAAAGAAGTAGCTACAGAACACATGGATACAGCCTCACAATGCTGAGATAAATTGGCATACACAACACATGGTCATATCCCTGCAGAGATAGCTACAGGACATGAACATATCCTCACATTGCTAGGACATATTAGCATATCCCACAGAGCTGGCTACAGGACATAAACATATCCTCACATTGCTAGGACATATTAGCATATCCCACAGAGCTGGCTACAGGACATGAACATATCCTCACATTGCTAGGACATATTAGCATATCCCACAGAGCTGGCTACAGGACATGAACATATCCTCACATTGCTAGGACATATTAGCATATCCCACAGAGCTGGCTACAGGACATGGACATATCCTTGCACTGCTAGGACATTAGGACATACCTCTGCATTAACCTCACACAGTAGACATACAGATTTTTCTTCATAATGCCAGGATACATGGCTATATTCTCACATACTGTTAAGGCCCATTACATCTTGAGTAATTTGGTTTGGACCAATTGTTCCTGGCAATGCATTATGAACCAATATATCCTAGCAATGCATGTTGAGCCCAATATACTGCCCAATTTACCCAAGCACAGTGTAATCTTTCCTACATCATGACAATGTGTTAGGGAAGGAATATCCTATTAATTTGTGATGGTGAGAGAGTGATGGTTTTGTTGCGTTCCTAAATATACAGCCTATCACCTGGGACATTAAACTTCTTCATAATGTCATTCTACACTTAATAGATTTGAAATTTTGAATCACCCTTTCTGAAATTATTCATCAAAATAATGCCTATTCAATTATATCTTAATATATCAAAATTATTAAATGTAAAAACCATCTAACTTCACAACCATTTGCTGTTATTATCTCATGAGAAAGTGTTTTCATTGTGAGTACAATGATCAGGGATGCCATTATTGAAAAGAGTCCTGATAAATTCAGGAAGTACTTGTTAACTGTATTAGTGGTGTAATGGTGAGGCCACAATACAATACATACTCCGATAATATGGGTGCAATATGATTCGTATCTGGATGTAGTACTTTTGATTCAAAAGTACATATTCTCTTCCTTCTTGCAGGTGAATCACAACCCTGAATTTTAATTACCAAAGATGTGATACTTTATGAGAGAAACATATGCTTGGGGGCAAGAGATTCTACTATTTATAGCCAATCAGGAAATACTTGAGAATCTGCATAAGCTGGTTTTTCAGGACTTTCTGTTATTATTTCATTTTTACATCAAACTTGTAATGTATTGCAAGACAGGCATTGTACTGTATCATGAGCCTTCGTATCGTGATACAGAACTGTATCACCATACCGTTACACCACTAAACTCGTAATCGTATACATCTTGTTGCCACAAGGTTATTATAAGACAGTCTGTAGAATCACACAATTGTAGCTCACACTCTCATTCTCCCCTTGAAGCTTATAGTAGGGCAATTCTAGGCAATGGTAGGCTAATAGCTGAGATTCAGGGGTACAGAAGCACAAACATATATTAAACTCATTTGGAAACTATGGAATGATCTCTGCTCGTAATGAACTATCAATGTCATCGACCACATCACAACCTGACTGGCTTTCAACACATAAAGGATTCAACTTGAAATCCAATATGGCCACCATAACCTTGACATTGTTCCCTTGTCCTGCTTTGCAGCAGAAGTCCTGCCCTAGTAAGTCACAGAGGTGTCTCTGGCAACATCGCAACAACATCGCAACTCACAACATCTGACAACATGACCACTGCCAAGCAGCAATCTCATACCCTGTAACATTCCTGTAGTCTTCTTACACAAAATCTGTTTGTTACTTTAATTAAAAATTAAGGTGATATACACTAAATCATCGGCTGTTATTTTCAAAAGTGACCAGCTTCAAAGGCAAGCTTTTATTTTATATCAAAAACACTAAAATATTTCCTTCAGTTTGTTGGAAGTCTGAAGCAAGTCTGGGCAATGATCAAGAGTGAATACTTGTGCTTAATTATCTGAAGTCGCAACGGTTCAAGCCTTGAGACAGACAACTGTCAAAAACCTAAAACATCTACATATTAGCACTAAATATTTGGTTGCAGCTAAACTTGCCCTATGATCACTCCTCATTCAAAGACACACAAGTTCTAATTAACTTTTCTACTGAATACAAAGATTTCCAAACATAAGTTAATTCTATCACTTGACAGAAGCAATAGATATATGTATGTATATATAAAATGAAGGACATGTATCATTGGTGTAAAGCTATAGGGAGATAACACATAACACACACATTACACACACGTTCCTGCATCCCATCCTGAGGAGGAGGTGGGCGTGGCAGGACAGTGTCTCATCACATCTGTGCTTGGTTCATATGACACCTAAATACAGATAAACAGGCTGACAAACACTTGGGGACAGCACCTCCTTATCAGGTCATCTCCATGGTAACATAACTAGTGCTGACAGGGCCAACATCCCCCTCAATGACAACATCATCATCACAGCACAGCATCTCCTACGGATGAGTGAGTTTAGTTTTACGCCGCTTTTAGCAATATTCCAGCAGTATCATGATGGGGGACACCAGAAATGGGCTTCACACATTGTACCCATGTGGGGAATCGAACCTGGGTCTTCTTCATGACGAGCAAATGCTTTAATCACTAGGCTACCATACCACCCCTTCCTCCAAATGAAAATGGTCCCCAGATAATTGTCATTCCATTGAAGACATGTCTCCTTGGGAACAAATGTCTCATTACCTGAAAGACCTTGCTGTCATCTGAGGAACAGATTCCTCATTAAACAGATGACTGAATTGTGTCATAGGAACAAAACTGAAATTGTAGACATGGTCCATACAGGAGAACATTCTCTGACCTGATGGGCATGGTCCATATCAAAGGACTTTCCATGAACTGGTGGACAACATTGTCCATACTAAAGGACGTTCTCTGAACTGGTGGACGTACTCTGAACTCGTGGACAACATTGTGTATACTGAAGGATATTTTCTGAACTGGTGGACAACATTGTCTATAACAAGGAGATTCCCTGAACTTTTGAACAGCATGGTCCATACAGGACATTCTCTGAACTAGTGGACAACATCGTCCATACCAAAAGATTTTCTCTGAATTTCTGGACATCGTCCATACCGAAAGGAGGACTTTCCATTAACTTGTGGCCACTATTGTCAATGCAGAAGGACATTCTCTGAACTGGTAGACGGCATCATCTATACCAAAAGACATTCTCTGAACTAGTGGACAACATCGTCCATACCAAAGGACATTCTAGGAACTAGTGGACAACATTGTCCCTGAAGGCATCTGTTCCCCCTATCCACAGTAATGTGTACCGAGTATACCTTGTATTTGTCCTGTCCTGTAATGTCTTCAGACTCAAGGAGGTGCAAAAGACACCCTTGGCTAATTTCGAGGGTCTTGAAACAAGAATGAAGAATTCTACTGTTGCTACTTCTTTCAAATTTTTTTAACTTTAAAATACTACCGGTAATTATTTTAGCCTCAAAGTTTGAAATGGAACGATGGTGCAGTTCATTCAGATATTCTTGAATAATTAGTACGTGTCTCAATAAGCAGGTAGATACTCTAACCAGGAACCCAGTAAATGGCTAGACGTATAACACAGATGTTCCAATAACAGAAGCACATACACAAACGATATAATATATCAAGATATAAATGGCAATATTACAAACAAAGCAACCACTTAACAAGCAATATTGTATACAAAGACATAGTGTACATCTTGTACATGATGCACCAGGGGATGACTCAACAAGCAGAATACAACGATGGGCTATTGATGAAATGACACAATGAAGCATCATGGACTAGACGGGACAGGTAACACTGGAATCTCTGGACTTGCTCTGATGTACTGGTGTCACGGTTTAAATATGTCAGTGAGTTGGTCTATTTCCCATGACATCAGTCCCATAACTCCTCACAGCTTAATGTTGGAACATGGTCAAAAGTGATGCCAGTTATTTACCAAAGAGGAGAGGTATGTTGCCCGGACCTAGGGTCAGGATGAGTTTGGGATCAAACCAAGTCTATGAATCTTGGCATGCCTAAGGGAGGTAACTCTGCTTAGTGATTTGCTACGGTTTAAACCACTGTCCAAATGTAACCAGCTGAGATAGTTATGTCTGGCCGAATATCACGAAAAGCAGCAACACTACATTTAACCTATAATATGACAATAAATTTATATCTCCACTAGATCTAAAAGTTCCTGATAAAGCTGAAAATGATTTTCTGTAAAAATAAAGGGTTGAAAACCCTTTTTCCATGCAGGGAATATCTGACTGTGTTGCTGGAGTGTGGCTTAGCAAGTTCAGAGGTCGCCAGTACTTGACGTGGACTTCATCCTATAGCAGTTCTCATTGATGCTCACTGAGTAATAAATATAACCTTACACAAATAACCTTACATCTTGTGATTACATTTCACAGTTACAGAGTCGTCACAAAATAGATGTTTCCTGACCTCACTGAGGCTTCACACACACATCTCATCTCGGGCAACGCTACCAACATAGAGAATCATACACAGATAGGATTTGTTTCGTAAGTAATCAACAACAATAATGTAAACGTCATGGACTTAATATGGTGGTTAAAATTTGCCTAACGTGACGGCAAATATTTAAAGTATAATATTCTCCGAAGTTTGATTGCACGCAGTCAGATCCGCAGTAATGTGGCTGGTGTTTTCCTCCCTCTTAAATCAGATGCACTCACTCACTCATTGTCATCTTCTCATTCTCACACACTCACACATTCTTTGCACCAAATCAGTCATGTACATAGCTATGTAGGCAATCTGTTATATTCCAGCATCCACCAATAACCAACTTGTTCCTCAGAGACCTTCTAGATGTGGTACCGCTTTTACTGGAAACAGGAACTGTGCAGAGTAAAGGTGTTGAAACAATGATCAAGCTTCTACGAGTCACCTCTATCTTCATCCATGTGAAGGTGCTGAATTGGCTTCTTGCTTCACAGGAACATGTTTCCCCTTTGTAAACAGTGACCTTTGCTGGAGAACTCATTATCCCATGAAGCAAGCTTGATGATTAAGCTCCCTTTAGTGAATAGCAACCTTGACAGCAAAACTTGCAATTTATTCCACAAATTAAGGATACTTTAGTCTTGATCTCTGTCGTATGTTTACAGTACCTTTGACTGCGTGAGCTAGTGTGTTCAAATGAATGAAGGCTGATTGTTGGTTTGCCCTTTCAACATTGACCTTGAATGGAAAAAACCCTGCCTCAAGAATCAAGGCTTATGTTTGGGCTCATCATGGAACCTTTTTTTTGACTTGAGGAACTTTTGATGTCCTGACAAGCATGCCAGGAATTGTGGTTTTTGTTTTGTCGTTGAGAGAAATCTTTTCCCGAAGAGCTGACTTTGTTCCATGAAGCAAGGTTGTTTGTTTGGTGGATGCTGAGTATATACAGAGCAGCTTTCAGGAAGTGATCAAGGTGGAACCCACTGTCCGGTCTGCGCATGTTGCTAATATACACAAAATTCCTGCTATGCAGTCAAACACACAGACCATGTGGTAGGTAGCTTGCTTAGCAAACTACAAGAGAAGATCATCTTGTAAAGTCATCACAACCCAGCTTTGTCACAAAGGATGTCACCCTGCACCAAAGATATCAGTCACGTCACCATCCGATGACACGTTGATCATCACAACCCAACTTTGTCACAAAGGATGTCACCCTGCACCAAAGACATCAGTCACATCACCATCTGATGACAGTGTTGATAATCACAACCCAACTTTGTCACAAAGGATGTCACCCTGCACCAAAGATGGCAGTCATGTCACCATCCGATGACGATGTATATAATCACCAACACATATGCACCAAAATCACCTCAGACCCTTTCTCTTCCATCTCCATTCTTCCAATCCAAATGCTTCCATTTTCACACTCTATGCCTGGTCAAATGTCTTGTTAGACACACAGTTACCATGTGGATCCTTCTTAGGCTCAAATTCTGGGTTAGTGTTAATGAGCTGATACTGGTGATTGGGTGACAAGTCCAGTTTGCTCTTTTCATTGGCTATTACTGCTGGTCCCAAGGAGGCAAGGTGCTTCTCCAGTTTCTGTTTGCGCTCACAGTTGATCTGCTTGCTGGGGGAGTCTAGCAAGAAGGGGTTCACACCCTGGAGCTCCAGATTGGTGGACTTGGGTCGGATCTTGGTGACCACAGGACTGTCGGTCATCTTGAACATCCCTGTGTGTCGGCGCCGCAGGATGACCAGCACCAGAATCAGCACTGCGATCAGAGCAATGGAGAGAAGCACGCCCAACAGAACAATCCCGATCATGTAGTTGTCCTTTGCCTTGAAGTCCTCTGTAGGGCCTGGAACATAAGACATTGGATTCAGGCACACAACAAATATACATGTACTTCCGGACCAGTTAGATGATCTATGGTGAGTGCAAAGTACCATTTTACACTGTTTTCAGCAATATCCTAGCCAAATAATGACAGCATATGTGAGCATACATGAGAATAAAATCAAAGTCTTCTGTGACATGATATTTTATCAGAGATGGGTCATTAGCAGTTAAACAAGTTGGATCTGAATCCTCCAGTGGGTATTTGTACACAAATGGAAAAGGCTCTTCTTTTTTGCTTTCATTGTAAATTTGTTATTCATTTTCCATAAAAATGAAGGAGTTAGTTTAGAACCACTTTCAATAGTATTCAGTCATATCAAGGCACAATACCATCACATAGAAGAAAAGCCCAAATTGATATAGGTGTCAGACATTCATCACTTTGGTGAAACCCATGAGTGTGTGCATGGTGTAGACACACCAAGCATCATAATCCGGGCAAATCTGGGATTCAAAACAACGAAAGTTGAAGAAATCTGGACATGGTTTAAATTTAGGGCCTTTTCAGGGCAAGTCACTGGCAATTGGGCTTTTCGAGGCTTTAACGAATTAGGCTTTTTAGGGTAAAATTTCAAATTTAAGGTCTTTTTAAGCCCTGTCTTGTATACAGCCAGTGACTGACAGCAGGAGATAGTTCGTACCTTGTGTGGTGTATCTCCTGTTGTGGTGGTCGGAGGTGGTGCGGGGGAAGTGCTGCTCCAGGATGCTTGTGGTGAATGAGGCATCTGTGGGACAATAACATAGGGTAAGTCTCACCTACTCGAGCCATGTAGGTACTAGAAATATACCAGTAAGCTGCTTCTTGTTACAGACAAACTCGGCCATGTTTCAGCTCTGTAACTGTGGCCTGTGAAATGTCTGGTCTGGACTAGACGATCCGGTGATCAACTAAGTCACCAAATCTGACTACATGACATTGGCACCTCCTACAGCCAAACTAGGTTGCTCTGAACCGTCCCAAAATGGATTCCCCATGTGATCACAAATCTGTACTGCTATTTCAAAGCCTAATAATACCACACTGACTATACCTTGAGATTTCTTTAGTATTTTAGTTCATGTAAGTATGATAACAGTAATTCATATGTAATATAATGTGTTGAATGGATATTCACAACTCATCAAAATGTCTTATTTGGAAGCAAATGAAAAGACGAAAAAGAATGAAAGCTAATATTGATGTCATAATTTGGCAGCCATTTAGTGCTTATGAGGCCATGTTCAACAGCTATGTGTCGATACTTTCATTAGTGATAATACAATATTGGATTGAAAGAGGCTATTGAGCTATCAGTGAACAGAGAACTCACCCAGACATGAGGGGCAACACTGTGTGGGTTTCCGTATCATCACTGTGCAGGTGAGCCGAGGGCAGGGGATGGGGACACACAGAATTTTACCATTTTCACACACACACTCAGTGCAGTTGTCGGACTGCCATCTCTCCCCAGTACTGTAGGTGATGTCGTCCTTGGTGCAGATGCCTGGCAGGCTCACCTCTGTAACACATGGTAATACAGGTCAAGGTCACACACATAACTGAAGGTCAAGGTCATGTAAGACAGGTCAAGGTCCTACACACAATACAAGGTCACACACATGCCTTAGGTCAAGGTCATGTAATACAGGTCAAGGCCATACATAATACATGTCAAACATTCCAGACTTGTTTTACAACTCCTATAAGTCCTTGAAGTGATGTAAATCCTGAATGGTTACGAGTTTCGTTATGGTGAGGAAACAATGAGAAATAATGACAATGTTGATATCAATATTTGTACTTCTTCATGGGGTAAACTTGCAAATCAATAACCTAGGGTTAGACCATAGAGAGCACTGTAGAGCAGCCAAGCATGAATTACTGTGGACCTATTCTACCCAGGGACATAGACATTAGTTAAAGAAGGTTGTGAACGCACCAAGACAGCTTGGACAGCACTGGCCCTTCCTGAGGACTGTCTTGTTACAGTTCAGTGGGGGACACATCTGAGAGTAGCAGTGGACCTGGCCGTTCCTGCAGGTGCAGCTCTGGCAGGGGCTGGTCTTCCACACCTCCCCCTGCTTGTACAACACCCCTGAGTCAGACTTACAGGGGCGCGAAGACAATCGGGTAACTGTGGGCAGGTGGTCAGAGGCTGAAAATATAAGTATGCATTAGTAACCAACTGGAAGTTAATGTGAACAGTTAATTCATTTTTCAGCATACTGGAACAGAACATTCATGGCAGGGTTCAGATTATACATGAAAACCCAGCCAATTTATCTAATATTAATACTTATAATCACCCACAAGTTGCAAAAGTAAATTTTCTCTCTGATTGAAAATGTGTGTTTTGTTTATTAGAAACAACAACAACAAATATTTTAGAAAATTCATTTTTGGAATTTAACTTTAAATTAATCGAAATTACCTTGTGTATTTTGACCAAGACAGCCTGGTCAACATAATTAATCATAATTTCTTTGCAATAATAATAATAATATACCAAAACTTACATATATGTATTGTGGCTATAACATCACCATGACTTACCTGTACAGTGGGCGCAGCACTGGTCCGCGGAGTACAGCGGACTTGACGGGGTGGTAGCACAGGATGGCTGGACAGGTGGCGCTCTCACACAGGATAGAGCCGTCATGGCAGATGCACTGGGTGCAGTCATCCATCCTCCACGTCTCCCCTTCCACCAGATGCTGGCCGTTAGTGGACTGACACGACTGCTTGCTGCCGTTCTCTGACGGGATGCCAAGCACACCTACAGATATCATGGAAGGTGTCAGGGAGGTGGAAAAGACAGAGTGAGTGAGGGATTTGGGTTCTATTCCCTTGTGAACAGCATTCACTTAAATCACAGCTGTTAAATACTGGACAACAGCCTGAGGTGATATATGTCTAAAAGGTTACCGCATAAACATGATTCTGGCGCTGGCACACCAAGAACCATCTTTACAAGGATGGATTTGAGATTCAAACTAACACACAAGGAATCTGGTATGCTAATGTGATGGTAAGATAATGAAGGCAAAACCATATAGTCCTTGGCTTCCTTAACGATATAATTCTGATCTGGCTCAATCAATCTTTTTGAATGTATTAATGTGCATGAAAGACTATTTTTCAAAACTATATATTAATTGAATGAACACTATTCTACACTGCAGTCATCAAATTATTGTTATGACACAGGCTGCGTTAAACCTAGCCAAGTAACACTGGACAGAAAATGACCAACATTATTTCTTCCAACCTGCCAACTCACCTGGGCATGATGGGCAGCAATCTCCGACCCGGAACACCGGGTTATCACATCGTGGCACGGGACAGGCGATCAGGGAGCACATCTCGTTGCCGTTGTGACAATAACACATCCGACATCCGTCATGCCACGACTCTCCGTCCTCGTGAAGGTGTCCGCTCAGAGACATGCACGACTTGTCGACACCAAAAAATGATGGGTCTGTGTAGTCGATAGATGGTGTACTGGGTATCATCAAGGCTTCTACAATGGAAACGAGACACATTGCTGAGTTGAAGTGGCACATTAATGTATATATGTAGATATAAAGTATCAATACAAGAGAGATATCAATATCAATATCAATAAACCCATACAAGACTGATAAACTGCTAAAGAGCATCAAAAAGGAAAATGACACCAGGTGTTCATGAACACCACCTGTACCGCACCACACTTCAATGCAGTCAAGAGAACTTTGATTCTACCACTGCATACAGATCATCTACTGAAAGCAAACATGATTTTTTAGTAACTGCTTTTTCCCTACCTTTGCATTTGCACAGTTGACAGCCTTGGTCATTTAGGTTATAGCCATACAAACACAACTTGGTGCAGTTGAAGGGGGGGGACACTTGTTGCAGCGACATTTGCGGCAACCGTTTCGTGACTTCTTATATCCGTAGGTGCACTGCTTCTCACAGGTGTCGAGGCTGGGGCAGTGATCCTGAGGCTCCGCGCACTCACAGTTCTTGGTCCCGTTGGCGTTGGTGGTGAAGCCGTACTTACAAGCCAGCTTACACACTTCTGAAAACATGGAATCTTATATGCACATGTTCGCTTGTCTGCATATAAAATGTATTAAACTTTTATGAGAGAAGCATTTAAAATGTAAATTTGATTTAACTACCCAGAAGAGATTAAGGATATTTCTGTGCATTCAGTTACACAGGTCACACTTGGTAACTGCTGTGACGAGGTAATATTTTCCCTTAGAAGTATAATTGGAGATTACATTTTTGCGAAAAAAATCATGATTTAAATCTAATTAAGTGATAAAACATTCAACTATAAGTAAACATCATCATTTCAACATGTTAGTGGCTAACATAGGCTGGTACAGGAAGGTATGTGATACATTTGTCTTCCTCAGAAAGACCAGGGTCCCACCTCGCTACTCCACCACCCCAACACCCCAAATCATCATTTGCTCCAGACTACCAAACTGACCTTTCTTACACTTGCACAAGAAGCAGTCTTTGTCCGTCTTCTCCAAGCCATTGGGGCAGGTGAGACTGCAGTTCCGCGAGTCAGGACAAAGTCGCGGGGTGTCCTCTTCAGGAATGTCTGAAATCAGAAAACTGATGTGTAGCCTGATGAAGATGGTGATGATGGAGATTTTACGAGAGCTTCTAGTAGAACCATTTTTTAAAATTTGAAAGTTTTGTTATAAATCTGAATTGCAAGAACACATATATTTTACAGCGACACCTTACATTACAGCTCACGGCACAACCTCCCACTAGAACTTCATACCTCGGTGACAACCTCCAACTAGAACTTCATACCTCCATGACAAAGATAGTTAGGGTACCCACACCTGCAAACCTTCTACACTCACCATCACACACTGGACAGCACTGGCCGGGCACCTGCCGTGGCTTGGAACACCTGACGGCACACATCTCGGCCTGACACAGGACCCGCCCAGCATCACACTGACAGGTCACACATGGACTCTCCTTCCAGACGTCCGAGTTATTGTAAAGGCTGCCAGAGTCCGACACACAACCTGCATCACAGAGACAACATCAGTCATCATTCAAGTTTTGAAAACAGGTGCCACCTTCAATCACACATGATATACAAGAAGTTAGAAAATCTTCATTCTTTCTCAGTTATAAACATGTTTTGTTCTTAAATATTTCATCTTTCAGCATATGTTGGTTGGTTGGTTGGTTTGTTGTTTAATGCCGCACTCAGCAATATTCCTGCTATATGGCGGTGGTCTGTAAATAATAGAGTCTGAACCAGACAATCCAGTGATCAACAGCACAAGCATCAATCTAATCAACTGGGATACGATGACATGTGTCAACCAAGTCTGCAAGCCTGACCACCCAATCCCGTTAGTCGCCTCTTACGACAAGCATAGGTTGCTGAAGACCAATTCTAACCGGATCTTCACAGGTTCTTTCGCGTATTCACTATATACTCATCATAACTCAAAGGAACAATAAAGAACACAATGTTTACATTCTAGATAGATGAGTGAGTAAGGTTTTATGCCACTATTAGCAATATTCCAGCAATGTTATGGCACAGGCAAAAGGACAATGCTTCTCACATTGTACTCATGTGTCGAATCGAAATGGGTCCTCGTCAGGACAAACGAATGCTTTAACCACCTTCTTGATAGAAGAGAGATGTTAAAACTGAAAATCGTAAGTGATGTCTAGCAATGAAACCATCTTTAATCCAGCTGTCCTCACCTTTACACACTGGGCAGCATTCTCCCTCTGGTATGACCATCCATCCACACAGTGGTGCGTTGCACGTCTTGGTCTTGCAGAACGTCAGCCCGTCGCGACACTCGCACATCGTGCACTTCTCCAGCTGCCAGCTCTCCCCATCATGAAACGACTGACCCTCGTACCGACAGGTGTGGCCCGTGTCTGCAACAGCAACAGTCTCCTTAAACATCAGCGTAATAATGGCTTAGTTTCCATAATGGTGTTTTCAGCCATCAATGTGTCCCTGCCCAGGAACCGAAGATAGTCAGTTCTGTCCACAGCTGGAGTGACTGAACTGCTACAACAGTTGTAAGTCTATGCTAAAGAATGAGAGTTACGATCGCCTTAACGCTACATCAGCTTTATGCAGCTGATCCCCTGATCTGATGATCAGTTGTCTTGCATCAATAGAATGAGGGTATGCAATCGTCACATTGCAAGCTGCTTATCCTTCATATATAATGATTATCAAAAATATTTCAACAAGAAATGGAACAATATCTGGATGTATTGGATAATGATTTTATATTTGTTTTGTTATATCGAGCAAATTTCTTAAGTTGTTGGTATCACAAATATCATGTCAGTCGATGTAAGTTGGTTGGTTAGTTGGTTGTTTTACGCCGTACTCAGCAATATTCCAGCTATATGGCGGTGGTCTGTAAATAACTGAGTCTGAACCAGACAATCCAGTGATCAACAGCATGAGCCTCGATCTATGCAAATGGGATACAATGACATGTGTCAACCAAGTCAGCAAGCCTGACCACCTGATCCTGTTAGTCGCCTCTTATGACAAGCATGGGTTACTGAAGACCAATTCTAACCTGGATCTTCATGGGTTTGCTGTAAGTTGTCGCAAATTTATGGAGGGCTGTGTTCTACTCCAGAATCCCTAAAGTAATGTACCTGGACACCGCCATCTGTCCTATCAAGACATAGATATTGCACTTTGCAGGAAGTGTCCAACAGCATGAACAAACTTCAGATTGATCATGAGATCTCATGATGAGTTATCTCCCTTTGATCACAACTCTTTTGACATTAAAGGAATCATACACAATCAGCATGTATTTCAACTAGTGGTGTAACGATTCATAGATACTATCGATGTTTGTATCGTCAACTACGCAATACAAGTTCATTGATACAAAACACATTTAGGCAATATATCAGGATATTAATATCGCAAGGATCCATGATGATATACCCCGGTACATCTTAAATACTACTTAAAGTTGTAAGGAGTAGGCCTGTTGCACTAGGAATAGGAAGGGAGTCTCTCTGAAATTCTTCTGAATTATAAAAACAAATTGAAAATTATAGGAATTTGTTTGTATCTGCTATCTTTGTTACATGAACAAAGGAGTTGGTGTATAAGTGAAAGAATGTGAACATTTTTCAAACTCTGTGAACTGTAGAATACTTGTCTTCAAGTATTTGAAATATGTTTTAGTTGTTTGACAAAAAACACCAGTTTTAACAACTTGGAACATTGTTTTAGCTTTGTTATAGAAAGAGAAGATAAAATTTAGAAAGCATACTTCAGGTTTTTTTCAATGATTCTGATAAAAATTACCCTAATTGTTTGTAAATGCATTGGTGCAGAAACACAAGTTCCCAAGGGAAACTTCATTTTAAAATATATTTATATTAGATCAAGGTATACTGAATATGTTTGACTATTTTCTTAAGCATTAAATGCTGAAACTTTATTAGATGAACAGCTTTTTAAGTGTGTGTGAATGTAACACAAGCTCTGCTGAATAACAAATAAAGTTAAAGTCATCTTATCTATCATATCTGTTCTGCTTTTAGAAATTGTAAAGGATCGGGATACGCATCGTGTCACCACCATTGTATTGTGATGATAATCATATCGCAGGTTCCTTGCTAATACTTTCATGATATATCATCTTGCCTCATTACACTGGTATCAGGATATATCGTCTTCACGTTTTGCCACGATACACAGCTCTAATTTCAACATATAAAAATTCCAGCAATATATCTTAAATGCATGTTTTTGCAGATTTTATCCTTGACTCATAAAACCTGACCAACCGTGGGAGTGACAAACAGAATAGTCACGCTCAATGCTCATGATGTCAGTCACTGGGTTGTGTGATCCAGATTTGATTATTTACCGACTGACATCATACAGCTGGAATATTTGCCAAGTGTGGCATTAAACAACAAACAACATGTTCTTACTCCAAATCATTCCACAGTAAAATCATCCACTTGAATCAAACACATGATCATCACTACAGTGAGTGAGTGAGTATGGTTTTACCGCTTTTAGCAACATTCCAGCGATATCACAGCGAGGGACACCAGAAATGGGCTTCACACATTTGGGGAAACAAACAGTTTTACCACAAGGCTACCCCCACCACCCCTTCAACACTACAGAGGAATGGCCTTTCTGTATCTCAATACCAACATGATAAGTCATACAAAAAATCAAGACACTTTCTCCAAGATGGAGAACCTTCTAGTTCTTGCTCTCCAAAACAGAACCTTTGCAATAATTAAAGCAGACGCCAACTTCAGTAAAACAGCCACACAATGAATGGGTTTGGCACGTCTCCCTGCTACTGTCATTGTCTTCCAATATATTATGTAAGTAAAAAGTTGTTATCGTACCAGTGTGAGTGAAGGACATTCGCAGATGGGTTTATATATAAACACAGGATCTAGAATAGACCTAGCAATGGATATATGTTGCTACACTGAGAGAAAAAAAAGTGAAAATACAGCCATATTGTAGAGCAACGCTTACTGCCTAGCCAAAAAATATGCTTGTCACAATCTTACAAAGGAAGTCATTGTGTGAAATGTCAGTTTGGTCCTTCCAAGCCAAACTTTGTGGTTATTTTCAGTGACATACCAAATTTCATTCTTACACTTACTTATATTTGCAGCCATTCTCAGATTTCTTTCCATGAATAAGTTTTACAAGGGAATCAAACCTATTTTTTCATGTGACGAGCGAACGTCTTAACCACTAGGCTACCCCACTGCCCTGAATAACTACAGACTGAATCTAGGACTGAGTACACTTTAAGGAATGTTCAGCACTATTTCATCTAATTCAAGGCAGGTGGACAAACAATTCTCATTTTGTGTAAAATAGAACATCGATCAATGGCCAAGCAACGAAAACACCTTAAAACTAGGTTACCCTGCAACCCATATATCAGACATAGAACATATTTTGATTCAGAATCTATGCATAAAGGAAATAGAACTTGCTTATCAGCATGAGAAGGTGACAGGTTGACCAAGTTGACCTAAATGCATGCACCACAAGCTGCGACTTTCACTATGGGTGTCCTGCCTTTGTAGAACACATCCCAGACACTGGCTCCTTGTTCACTGCCTGCTGTTTGATAAGAGACTTTCACCTGTCTACGGCTTACCAAGTAACCCCTATGTCATCACTCAATCTATATGAACAAGTCAAATTGTTTTTTATTCACTACAGCCTTTCTTGTTCATCCGTTCTTATTGTTCCTTGTTAAAATCATCCTTTTGTACACAAACACTTTGTTCTCTTAAACATACACATGATTACACTGAAAGCTGGAAATAAACATATCGGGTATTCCGTAGAACTACAATACTTTGGCATTTAGATTTCTTGAGGACAAGGAAATGAATCTCTTAATCCTTTCTAATATATCCTGTAAGTGATTGAGTGAGTATAGTTTTACGCCGCACTCAGCAATATTCCAGCTATATGGCGGCGGTCTGTAAATAATCGAGTCTGGACCAGACAATCCAGTCATCAACAGCATGAGCATCGATCTGCGCAATTGGGAACTGATGACAAGTGTCAACCAAGCCAGCGAGCCTGACCACCCAATCCCGTTAGTCGCTTCTTACGACAATCATGGGTTACTGAAGATTCATTCTAATCCGACCTTCACGGGTGCTAATATATCCTGTACTACCCAAAAGAAGTTGCCATGACAGATTAACTAAAGTATTATGAAAAAGTCAAGTTTTCTTGAATTTCTTTTGAGTAGAATAAAGTAACAGTAAGTGAATGTGGTTTTACGCCGCTTTTAGCAATATTCCAGCAACATCAAGGCGGGGGACACCAGAAATGGGCTTTACACATTGTACCCTTGTGGGGAATCGAACTCAGGCCTTCGGTGTGATGAGCGAATGCTTTAACCACTAGGCTATCCCACCGCCCCTAGTATAAAGTAACAGAATGTCAAACCCACACAAACACGCAAATGCAACAACATCGCCAATATATTGTTTAACATCATATATTGCCTCATTTCTCCAACAGCATATCTAAATTTAGTTTTACCCTGTCACATGAAAAATAAAAAAATAAAATACAAATTCAAATCTTCTACTGCATAGCAGACTAACATTTCTTTACAAATTAACTAAAATATTATTTTTTTAGGTTAAGTGATTTCTAAGCAAAATATACGACACAAAATATAATCAGAGCAGTTTTTATACCCAACACTGCTAAAATCTATACAAGTTGCCTTTAGTGTCATCCTGACCCCCAAAGGAAAAGCTCAACCCTCTCCCACCATGCCCTCTGAGGCAACCAGACAAGAGACCATGTATTCAACATGGATAGACATCTAAATTACTGTACATACAAATCACCAACGACCATCTAAATCATTTGTCCAAACCTGGTGGTTCAATTAGGGAGCGGAAAGAAGCAAAGCCATTTCCAGCGCAGCCTATCAGATCAGAGGTCGCCCCGATCACTGATAAACTGATTTATGTGTGCACATGTACATTTGATTGCCATTCAGAGCCAAATTATATACACATGGATCCAGGCTGCTATCAAAGGCCAATCTTCATGGAAACCTGTATGTAAAGTTCAAATCGGGGCATTATGAATGTCCAAGATGTGTAATTTATCCATACTTTATTCTTGTATGAGTGAGTGAGTGAGTGAGTGAGTGAGTGAGTGAGTGAGTGAGTGAGTGAGTGAGTGAGTGAGTGAGTGAGTGAGTGAGTGAGTGAGTGAGTGAGTGAGTGAGTGAGTGAGTGAGTGCTGAAAAATGTCAGGAGTGAGTGCTCCCATCATACTTCGCCGCATTACAATAAATGTATTGCTTAGATCTTAGTGCAGTTATAGTTCTTACTTAACACAGATTTAAGAGTTA